GACCCTCGCTTCCGCCATGGGAACCACCCACAACACACTACCAGATTATGGGACTTACGCCCCTTCGTGCTCTGCATATATGCCCATGAAGGGTTCACCGAGCACCACAACCTTCCGTGCAGAACGTGCCACAGTAGAAGGCACGACAATTCCGAGGGATCCCCGCAACAAACCAACTCTGCACTGTGAGGCCAGGCCGGCACCTCAACAGAACACTTTCCCGAGGGACAAGGCGACAGGAGAAACATTGCTGATTGATTCGACCACGACCGCCCCATGGCTCCAACCGTGTTGAACAGCCCAGGGTGCACTTCCGGATGCTTGGGAACTTGACCCATGCATGGTGCTGCGGATACGCCCAAGAAGGGTTCACCGAGCACCACAACCTTCCGTGAACAACGGGCCTCGGTAGAAGCAACGACAATTCCGAGGGATCCCCGCAACAAACCAACCCTGCACTGTGAGGCCAGGCCGGCACCTCGACAGAACACTTTTCCGAGGGACAAGGCGACAGGAGAAACATTGCTGATTGATTCGACCACGTCCGCCCCATGGCTCCAACCGTGTTGAACAGCCCAGGGTGCACTTCCGGATGATTGGGAACTTGACCCATGGTGCTGCGGCTACGCCCATGAAGGGTTCACCGAGCACCACAACCTTCCGTGCAGAACGGGCCACAGTAGAAGCCACGACAATTCCGAGGGATCCCCGCAACAAACCAACTCTGCACTGTGAGGCCAGGCCGGCACCTCAACAGAACACTTTCCCGAGGGACAAGGCGACAGGAGAAACATTGTTGATTGATTCGACCACGACCGCCCCATGGCTCCAACCGTGTTGAACCGCCCAGGGTGCACTTCCGGATGCTTGGGAACTTGACCCTTCGTGCCTGAAGATATTACCAAAACCATCCGTGCAGGATCAGGCCACACATGAACACACGACAATTCCGAGGTATCCGCAACAACCCATCTCGGCACTGTGAGGCCAGGCAGGCACCTCACAGCGCACACTTTTCCGAGGGACAGGCAACAGGGGACACGTTGCTGATGGCCTCAACCAAACGCGCCATGGCCTCAACCATGTTCAACCGCCGCCAAAAGTGCACTTCCGGATGCTTGGAAACTTGCCCCTTCGTGCTACGCCATTGCCCATTAGGCAACACCTAGCCGCCACATCCTTCCGTGCAGAACGGTCACACGAGAAGCCCTCGGCACGTCCGAGGGATGCCACAACTACCCAACTCGGCACTGTGAGGCCAGGCCGGCACCTCAACAGCCAACACTTTCCGAGGGACGAGGACAGGAGACGAGGTTTGTTTGATGCTTCAACCAGGGCCGGGCTTGGCTTCGGACCGTGGGTTGAACCCCCCCAGAGTGCACTTCCGGATGTTTGGGAACTTGCCCCTCAGTGCTACGGATATGCCACTGAAGGGAACGCGTAGACCCACATCCTTCCGTGCCGAACGGGTCACACTAGAAGCCTCGGCGCGTCCGAGGGATGCGCACAACTACCCATCTCGGCACTGTGAGGCCAGGCCGGCACCTCAACAGAGCACACTTTTCCGAGGGACGAGGCGACTGGAGAGACGTTGCTGATCGCGTCAAACACGGCCGCGCCTTGGCTTCGACCATGATGAACCGCCCATAGTGCACTTCCGGATGATTGGGAACTTGCCCCCTTCGTGCTAAGGATATGCCCGTGAAGGCTTCACCTAGCGCCACAACCTTCCGTGCGGAACGGGTCACACTGGATGCCTCGGCACGTCCGAGGGATGACCGCAACTACCCACTGTGATGCCAGACCGGCACCTCGACCAAAGGGACGAAGGCATCAAGATTTTTGACTTGGACCTTGAGGAACAAGCAAAGAACTTGCTGCACGCCAAATGTGTCATGGTGCCGGATAAGCTCACTACGAGATGCCCACATTTTTCCGTTGGACCAGCCAGAACCGGGACACGTACGACCTGGATTCGGCGTGGACTATTTTTGACTCGGTCGAATTTCCCACATGGCCATGGAAAAACGCACCAGCATGCTTGGGAAAGCTTGCTGGGGCGCTGGGAGGGAGCCCCATGGCACGCCATCCTGACCCACCAAGGTGCGTGGGCAGGCAGGCAGCTCCCCCCTATAGTAGGCTAATATGCAAAAACCCGCTCTCCAGCACCGGACATCCTTTTTTCTGGGGAGACATACTCGGTTTTTTTGAGGCTACGGGTCGAAGTTTGACCTGATTTTTAGCACAAGTGCTTATAAAAAGTGGGAGCAAGTGGTCCACAAAGTTTCACGATTTTTCTCCGAGCCGATACTTTTTCATGATTTTCCTAGCCGACGAGCTTTATGTCATTCCCGAAAATTAGAAAATGGGTGTGGACCATGTTTCTTGAGCTGTTCTATTGCAGGAGTTCCAGGAATATTATTCATAAACATTTCCCAGAGTTACGTCCATGTAAGGTCGAGGCATTTACCTCAAATGATTTTCAACCGACGTGCGGCACAATCCATGATGCCCTGACGGACACACGTGCCATGGCTTGGGTGAGTGTGCCATAGGCTAGGCCACGCACCACATGAATAAGGGACTATGTGTGTATCGTGGACTTTGCACCAATTCGACTAATCGCACACACAAGTTGCGGATCCACAACCCTCGAAGAGCAAAGTGGAAAACCAAAAATTCAAGATATCAATCTTGATGAGGCAAGTGATTCCAGATGCAACACATGAATAAGGGACTGCGTGAATTCCTAAACTCTGAAGGGTGAGCCAGATCAGACCCCCCAACACACTTCTAAGAGTCACAAGCCAACAAGCAACACAGTGTCACATGCCCTTATCTTTAACCAAACCTGCACTGAGAGGCCACAATCAAGACCCTCGCTTCCGCCATGGGAACCACCCACAACACACTACCAGATTATGGGACTTACGCCCCTTCGTGCTCTGCATATATGCCCATGAAGGGTTCACCGAGCACCACAACCTTCCGTGCAGAACGTGCCACAGTAGAAGGCACGACAATTCCGAGGGATCCCCGCAACAAACCAACTCTGCACTGTGAGGCCAGGCCGGCACCTCAACAGAACACTTTCCCGAGGGACAAGGCGACAGGAGAAACATTGCTGATTGATTCGACCACGACCGCCCCATGGCTCCAACCGTGTTGAACAGCCCAGGGTGCACTTCCGGATGCTTGGGAACTTGACCCATGCATGGTGCTGCGGATACGCCCAAGAAGGGTTCACCGAGCACCACAACCTTCCGTGAACAACGGGCCTCGGTAGAAGCAACGACAATTCCGAGGGATCCCCGCAACAAACCAACCCTGCACTGTGAGGCCAGGCCGGCACCTCGACAGAACACTTTTCCGAGGGACAAGGCGACAGGAGAAACATTGCTGATTGATTCGACCACGTCCGCCCCATGGCTCCAACCGTGTTGAACAGCCCAGGGTGCACTTCCGGATGATTGGGAACTTGACCCATGGTGCTGCGGCTACGCCCATGAAGGGTTCACCGAGCACCACAACCTTCCGTGCAGAACGGGCCACAGTAGAAGCCACGACAATTCCGAGGGATCCCCGCAACAAACCAACTCTGCACTGTGAGGCCAGGCCGGCACCTCAACAGAACACTTTCCCGAGGGACAAGGCGACAGGAGAAACATTGTTGATTGATTCGACCACGACCGCCCCATGGCTCCAACCGTGTTGAACCGCCCAGGGTGCACTTCCGGATGCTTGGGAACTTGACCCTTCGTGCCTGAAGATATTACCAAAACCATCCGTGCAGATCAGGCCACACATGAACACACGACAATTCCGAGGTATCCGCAACAACCCATCTCGGCACTGTGAGGCCAGGCAGGCACCTCAACAGCGCACACTTTTCCGAGGGACAGGCAACAGGGGACACGTTGCTGATGGCCTCAACCACAAACGCGCCATGGCCTCAACCATGTTCAACCGCCAAAAGTGCACTTCCGGATGCTTGGAAACTTGCCCCTTCGTGCTACGGCCATGCCCATTAGAGCAACACCTAGCGCCACATCCTTCCGTGCAGAACGGGTCACACGAGAAGCCTCGGCACGTCCGAGGGATGCCCACAACTACCCATCTCGGCACTGTGAGGCCAGGCCGGCACCTCAACAGAGCACACATTTCCGAGGGACGAGGCGACTGCAGAGACGATGCTGATGGCCTCAACCACTACCGCGCCATGGCCTCAACCATGTTCAACCGCCAAAAGTGCACTTCCGGATGCTTGGACACTTGCCCCTTCGTGCTACGGCTATGCCCATTAAGGCAACACCTAGCGCCACATCCTTCCGTGCAGAACGGTCCACACGAGAAGCCTCGGCACGTCCGAGGGATGCCCACAACTACCCATCTCGACACTGTGAGGCCGGGCCGGCACCTCAACAGAGCACACATTTCCGAGGGACGAGGCGACTGGAGAGACGTTGCTGATTGCTTCAACCTTGGCCTTGCCTCGGCTTCGACCGTGCTGAACCGCCCAGAGTGCACTTCCGGATGTTTGGGAACTTGCCCCTCAGTGCTACGGATATGCCACTGAAGGGAACGCGTAGACCCACATCCTTCCGTGCCGAACGGGTCACACTAGAAGCATCGGCGCGTCCAAGGGATGCGCACAACCACCCATCTCCGCACTGTGAGGCCAGGCCGGCACCTCAACAGAGAACACTTTTCCGAGGGACGAGGCGACTGGAGAGACGTTGCTGATTGCTTCAACCATGGCCTTGCCTTGGCTTCGACCGCGTTGAACCGCCCAGAGTGCACTTCCGGATGTTTGGGAACTTGCCCCTCAGTGCTACGGATATGCCACTGAAGGGAACGCGTAGACCCACATCCTTCCGTGCCGAACGGGTCACACTAGAAGCCTCGGCGCGTCCGAGGGATGCGCACAACTACCCATCTCGGCACTGTGAGGCCAGGCCGGCACCTCAACAGAGCACACTTTTCCGAGGGACGAGGCGACT